ATCGAGCCCTGCATCGGGCTCCCTGCTCCGCGGGAAGCCTGCTTCTCTGTCTCCCGTTCCCTCTCTCACTGTCTCTCTCTGTCAAATAAATAAATAAAGTCTTTAAAAAAAAAAAAAAGAAACTTCAGTAGCTATTAGAAAAGATGAAACATAAAATTTAAGAAACTAAATCCAAAATGTGTTGTCACACTTACAGAATTATTCTCTCCACTCTCTCAGAGGATCTGAAGAGCTTCGCTGTAACTGTAGTAAGCACAGCGCCCCCATCCCTCTTTTCTGCTGGGTATGTAAGTTCTCACATAAAGTCACCCATGAATCAACTCCTTGTTTTCCTCAAAGGACTATCAATTCCAGGATGATGGAATCCAATCAATCGAGTTGCCCAATTCAAAGTTTACCAACTAGAAATCTTGCCCCTAAATAATATGATTGCCTTTCACAGTGTAGTCTTAATTACCAGTGAGCTCAGGATTTCAGCTAGCTTAAGATCTCCCTAAGCACCTGAGAAATTTTAAATTTCTGATCTCTTTCAAAGGTGTCTTTTGAATAGTATCATCAAATTTATGTGGGTACCATGTTATTAGTACATGAATATGAACCTAGACAAATCTCTTCTATTACTTTATGGGGGGATGATATTTATTGTAGCTCTTATTTTGAATAGATTCATAAGCCATGATAAAATGAGATATGCTCCTGTCCCAGCGGGGTGGGGGTCTACTGAACACAGTAAGTCTAGCCCTTCAGTTTCTATATAGTAATAGCAAATGGGATTATAGACCAAGAAATATATTTTTTTGGAAATAATTTTCTTTTTTTGGTATAAATGAAGATGTAGTGGCATCATGAAGGCCTACTAGTTAACCATTTCTCATGGGATTTCCCCCACCTATCCAATCCATGTGAACCAGATCTTAAAATTTTTAAGTATGTACCTTCCATTTATTCACATAAAGTGTTACCAAGACATTATCTCCATTACTTTTATATTCATGGATTTTAGATCTATGTTATTTTAGATGCAGTCTCAGAGCAATGTTAACAGATACAGGATTATCGATCTGATCTATGTGCAAGCCACTTATTCAACACATAATCATGTCTTAGACATACTGGTAGGCACTGAGGACCCTAAGAGGAAAACTCTAAGCTGGGAGGAGAGACAAGTAAACCAAGAATTATATTATTCTTGATAAATGGTGTGATGAACATAACCTAAAACACTAACAGGAGTATCTAATGTCTAGAAGTAGATCAAAAAGGATTCTTAGAGAAAATGATATTTCAATGGGGTCTTAAACTTGAGCAAGAGTTAATCGACAAAAATGAAGGAAGGAAGGCGTGCAAAAAGAGCAAAAGAAGTGCAAAAGAACAAGGATGCACGAGGCAGGCCAGTGCTCCAGACGAGCAATGATCTTTGGAGCGCAGGAAGAGGACGATGATGGCAATGATCAAAAAGCTCTGCAAAGCTAAGGAATATGAGTTTAACTTTTCTAGAAAGATCCTTCTAATTAGTCTACTGGAAAAAGCATTATGTGATGAGCAGTGACACAGGAAGCAAGGAATCATGAGCATAATTTAGTGATGCTGTGGTGAAGTAACTTAGATGGCCTTTGGACACAGGCTGTATTACTAGCAGAGGGGATAGGTGGTGTGAGTTAAAGACACGGGGAATAGGGGCACCTGGGTGGCTCAGATGGTTGAGCGTCTGACTCTTGGGTTCAGCTCAGGCCATCATCTCTGGGCCATGGGATCAAGCCACATGTCAGGCCCAGCACTCAGCGGGGAGTTTGCTTGAAGATTCTCTCCCTCTGCCCCTTCCCCCCTCTCTCTTTCTGAAATAAATAAATAAATCTTTACCAAAAAGAAGACATGGGAAATAAATAGAAGGAGCAGGTGACTGCAAGGACTCCATGGCAGGGACGTGGTGAATGGGTAGATGGTTCCATGTAGACAAATGTGGATGAGGAGGGCTCACTGACTGATAAGCAGAGAAAGCAAAGGGAGCAGAGTTAACAAGCCCATTTTCAGCCTGCAGTCTGAGGTTGCTAGGGGGTATCCAGGTAAAGATGTCAGCTGAGATATCCGGATATGAGTCTCTGGCTTTTAGAAGGAACGCTGGGATAGAAGACACAAATGTGAAATTTATTCCCTTATCAGTCATAGATGAAATCTCACGTACAGATGTGATCTCCCAGAGAAAGGCAAACCTGTGAGGAACACCACCGCTCAAGTGGAAAAGGAAGCCAGTTGTTTAGGGAACCACAGTACTTGATTCTCAAATATTCACAGTTAACTCCCTCCCTCCACCCCCCAATCCTCATCACACACAGAGGTTTCTAAATGAATTCTCCAGACATTTTAAACCAGTTCTCTTTCTTCTGAAAGAAGATGGGCAAATGGAACAGAAGTAACAGATAGTTGCAGAAAACAAGGACTGCTAAGAGAGAGAGAGAGAATGAAGGAGGAAAACAGGAAGGAAGGAAGGAAATAAAGAAATATCTTTCGATTATCTCTCTGCCTTGGCTGCAAAATGAACTTGGCCCAACCGTGGCTGAAACAGAAAAGCCTAGAGGACTTAGAAGGTTGAAGAAAACTTGTGGAAAGGTCTTAATGGCCAGGCAACCCTCAAACTAGAAACTCCACCTGGAAATCCAGTGGAAGAAGTCAGATTTCAAAACAAGGATTTCTAGTAAAAGAGAAAGAAGAACTCTAATTGCAGAGGGTGAAAAAGAGCAGTCAGGGAGAGCAATTGAGGTGTAATGAGCACACGTGACAAGATAAGTGGGTGTTTGGTTTTCCTCTGAAAATATGCTATCTGTATTGATTTCCTAAAAAATATAGTGTTTTGATAGTTATTCATCATCAGTAGTAATAAATATCTTTGCTAAGTTTTACAAGTGTCCTTTTGGGAACTGAAAAGCACATTATTGTCCTTCAGAGGTTTCCTGAGGCCAGAGGCTGTTTAGGTGGACGCACCACTGCCCCCTGGTGGGAAGGAACTATTTTTGAGTTGAGGCTGTTTTCTCGAGCACCCTGCAGCTAAATCTATGCCATCGCATCATCTATCTGCCATATGTAGTCTAAGTACGAAAAGAAAACAACTATTTGTATTGGTTTTTGTATGTGAAGAAGGCCCAAATGAATTCTCAAGAATACAGTTGCCGACAATGAATCATGGAACACTACATCAAAAACTAATGATGTAATGTATGGTGATTAACATAACAATAAAAAATTAAAAAAAAAAAAAGAATACAGTTGCCAAGCAGATACAAACTCTTTCTCACTTCAAGGGCAAGAGCTGTTTGAAACTAAGCACCTGGAAACAATTTCGTGTCTGGTAAGGTTATTAAATATAGCATCACCAGGCAGGAGGACGGGAGGTCTTTGCCTGCAGATATTAAGAACTTCTAGTTTTATTATAGCTTCTTAATGATCCACAAGTGACCCCAAACAACCTCAGCTACCATACTATCTCCAAGGTAGCTTTTCATTTAGTTCAGAGCTTTCTCCCCAACCACTGGTTCATGGATTAACACTAACATTTCTAGAGAGCATATGGTCAACCATATACTGTTGTTGACATCCTACCTTTTTAACATATAAACTTGCCAGCTGTATATTTAGCCTAATAGAAGCTAGAGGCAAGGAGAAAAGAAAACCATTGGGAATGAGCCAGGAGTTTCACTAGCTGCAAAATGTAAACAAAATAAGGAATACAACTGAACAAGCTGCCTGGATAATGATCTGGGGAAAGTGCTGAGTGACTCTGATGTCCAGAGAGACTCTAGGAAAGGAGGAAGCAGAGGAGAGAGGACCTCTCACGCCAGCTTCAGACTTAGAAGTGGATGCCAAAAATGCAAACACTTTAAGAGCCCTGTCTAATGCTATTCCTCAACATATGCCATCTCAGAAAGAGAGGTGAAGTTAGGTTCTGGCAGCGAGCTACGGCACCTCTGTCACTGGTTTATTCTAGGCACTTCTGTCGATTGTCACAGTGACTCCAAAAATACGTGGCAAAGCATGCCCTGCTTCACAGGCACCGCAGGAAGCCAGCCATTCAGGACATATCAGTAACCATGCACCACAGGCCACAAACAGGAGTAGCACCTTGGAGGGTCCCTCGCTGTGACAGAATAATGACCCGAGGCTGAGCCCAGAAATGGCCCTATCTTGAGTTAGACCAGGCATTTGGGCATTATATATAGAAGATACTCAAAAAGAGGCCCCAAATCCCCATTCTTCTCCATCCCTTTCTCCAACCCCGGACAGACATCTCCATTAAAAAAATTAGATGAAGGGGTGCTACAAAGAATATACACTCTGAATATCTAGTTATTATCTCCTTATCTCAAATCAGTTCATCAAAACACCTAAGAAAAGAAAGGATCCAAGAGGGATACATCTTATTTAGATATTCAGTAGTGAGCTAGGTTGTATCTAGACAATAGGATGCCACTCAGAATGGCAAAATTGAGTTGAAGCACCAGGGTCCATGGGACCCCAATATGGGGGCATCAGGAAAGTGATAACTCACTAACAGGCAGAAGGGGATGCAACGTGGAGAGAGGTGAGCTCCGAACATCCAGCTCTGCCAACCTCCTGCTATTGGGGAAACCAACACTCTCCAAGTGACCTGGGTAAAAAGGAGGCCAATAGCATGCCGTCTTAAAACAAAACAGAACATATTTATCTTGATGCATTTTATGACCCTAGAATCACTCTTAATGATTTTCTGTTGTTTCCAATAAATATAGACCAAAGTGGTCAATGAAGAAGAGTTATCTATCTCGTATACAATACAGTAGTTATTTCTAAAAGAAGAGTGTGGTTACTGTGTAATAAACATGAAAAAAAGGACGTCAGAGAGACCAAGGAACTCCTGTTTCTTGGACTTTGTTCCTTTCTTAACACAGTAAGGCCCCTAGACCATGCACATGCTTGGTGTTCTCTTCATGGTCTTTGTGTTCACAAAGGTAGGCAAGGGGCAGACTCACTCATTGAGTAAAGGCATGGATGTTCTCCTCTTGCTCTTCTGTACCATGTTGGCTTGATTCCTCAAGGAGATCCGAATCATAGCTGGGGCCAACCTACAGGGCTCCCCATCCACTTGCATGGGGATGGATTTGTAAGTGAGCAGCATGACCTCCCGACACTGGTGTAGCCTTTCCCCGTGGCCCCCAACTTGCAGGGCAGCCTGTGAATTCAAGAGTCCAAAGGAAGCTGGAAGTTAGTTCTTAAGAGTCAGGAAAGCTAGAACCCCCAAGTGCACTCTGAATAACCCAAAGGCCATTGATAAACATAGTGAAACTTGCTAGCCAGGAGTAGAATGGGAAACCTTGGGTAAATCACCTTAACAAAAATAAATTAAAATTTCTCAACTTTTGATGAGCTTGACCAAAAATTCTCGATAGCTAATTTTCAGTGTTACGTATTTTCAGTCTTAATTTAATCAGATTACTTTAATACAGAAGTTGTTTTCTGTGCGATTTATTCCCATTGAATAACCAATATAAGGAGAAAAAAAGACTATAAAAGATATAAAGCACAGTTTAAGGCAGCTTTTGTACTAATTTAAATATAAATATTATAATACATATTATTTAAATATAAATACATAATATAGTTACACAACATAGATATGTATATATAACATACATCTTATGTACATACATGCTATAATATGTAACTATATATTATATATTAAATATATTCATATTTAAATTGGAGCCCACCCTTGGTTAATTTTCAAACTTGGGCAGGTTTTTCCTTTTTACCAAAAACCTCCTCAAGCTACTTCTAATCTGTATAAGATCAATGAAATGCAAAATAATATTAATTACTCAATTACAAACATTATGAAAAGTAAAGCAAAGGATCAAAATCAAACACAGAGCTCAATTCACCACGGTGGCCACAAAATGGAAAAGTCAATCTAAAATGAAAAGCTCGGACGAACCATGAGAGACGATGGACTCTGAAAAACAAACTGAGGGTTCTAGAGGGGAGGGGGGTGGGAGGATGGGTTAGCCTGGTGGTGGGTATTGAGGAGGGCACATTCTGCATGGAGCACTGGGTGTTATGCACAAACAATGAATCATGGAACACTTCATCTAAAACTAATGATGTAATGTATGGGGATTAACATAAGAATAAAAAAATAAATAAAATGTCACTACAAAAAAATTAATTAATTAATTAATTAAATAAATAAAATGAAAAGCCCGTTGTTAAGGACAACAAATTAACATAACTTTACTGCATTAGTTAAAAAATATATTTATATGCCCACATATATATTTATATATGTTAAATTATACACTATATATTTTTATGTTGTGTATGTTATTACACATTTAGTATCATTTACCTTTTAGGGATGAATGGAAATCATACATGTTTGGTTATAAAAGAGTACACAAATTCTACAACTTGATGAGTGTCTTTATATACATATGTGAATCACCATCCAGATCAAGCTTTGGATAATTTATAGTTTTCCACGTGCTCCTTCCCAATCTTTTCATACTCCTCCCACAAACCAGTTAGCAGCCAATACTCTCACTCCTATCACCATAGATTCAATTTGTTTGAACTTGAACTTCATACAAACCATAGTAGATGACTCTTTTGTGTCTGACATCTTTTGTTCATCATTATTTTTAAGTACTATATAGCAAAATATATTTATTTGCTCTTCTGCTGGTAAACATTTGGTTGTTTCCAGTTTGTAGCTACTCTTGATGTAAACTTTCTTATAAATATCTCTTGGTAGATACTCTCTTGGGTACATACAATGAGAAGAATTGCTATGCCATTAAGCTGAGATTATAATTAACTTGAATAGATACTGCTAAATAATTTTTCAGTAAGGTTATATTATGTATTTTGAGTTATTAATTAGCTTATAATAAATATAAAAAAAGGAGTCAAATTGTAACTTGCTCAAAATCTAAAAGATTAAAACATACTATCAACCTGTTTCCATATGTCTCGTTTCCATGAATGAGGAATAAACTTTGTTAACCGATATTTGTGAAGTCAACCTCGCCTTATTTGGTTGCCAGATATTTATATTTATCTGAGGCGTTGAATTTCTTTTTTTGTACTTGCATTAATTTGAACAAAAGAAACTTGATTATCTATAAATGCAAAGAGAAAAGAAACACAAAGGGACAAAAAGGACAGAAAGAAAACAGAATAATAACTGAGAAGAACTACTTATTGAACACCTGTAATGTTAAAAGCATTCCGTTGTGTGCTTTACATACAATTTTATTCAGTTAGTTGGAAGAACAAGAAAGCAGAGGAGAATGCAGTGAGAATTTACTAAAATTCTTTTTGGCCTACTCCCCGATCCTTTGTTATTCAGCTGAAAGTTTTTCTTGGCTGTACTCAAATGATCCACTTAAATCAATTAGATTAGAGCCACCATCTCATGTCCAGAACTTTTCTAATATATTTCCCTTGCCTGCAAGTTCTTCTCAGCTGAGAACTCTATCCCTTCATCCACTGTTCTGGAAATACCACTTCTTCTTCTCCCCCTCAGCCACCTTTGACTAGGCCCAATCACAAATAAAAATGCAGAACCTGCCAGGCAAGAACTTCTTCCTTGGAGTTTAACAGAACTGAAAACTGTTTTAAATACTTTCCAACCCCTTGGTATGAGAAGGTATACACGGTACTGTAGAGCACTTTTAAGTCATCTTCCCAGCCTCAAAAATACAGCAACAGCAATACCACAAACATGTAAACAGCTGTCCCATTGGCATTTCAAAATCAATCCAAGATCACTGCGCAGGCACAAGAGGAATTACGGTAAATAGCTTTTCAGGGTAAAGACAGTTCTATTATTGCTAGCATAGCCACAGTATTTTTGGAACAAGTTAGAGTAAAGGTAATTTTTAAAATGCTCATTAGAAATACTTATTTTTCATCACTCAGGGTGGTCTAGGCTTAACCACAAATAACCCCGTGATTTGCTAGAAGGAATCATTTACTGGTAATAATATGGTGATTTATTAGTGACAGAGATTCAATTATCTGTTCAATCTAGGATCTATTACTCTTGTGAAAATTTCAAATATTGCCTTTCTGATAGCATGGGCCCCGATAGAAAAACAAAGACATCCCCTGAACTAAGTACTGCCATTTACTGCCCTGTTGCCCAGACCACAACAACTTTCCTTCATGTCACAGGTGTGGCTTGAGATCCTGTGTCTTTCCACACTATACTTGTCTCCATCTTCCTCCATGCCTCATCCTCTTTCTTACCACTCAAGTCCTTATTCTACTTGCCGTCAGATGGGAATGATGGACGATCCTGGGTTGGTGGGAGCGGAGAAGAAAACATAGAATGCTTAGGAACAAAATCAGCAAAGGGTATGCAAGAACCTGAAAACCATGCTGAAACTATAAAACTATAAAACTTTGCTAAGAGAAGTGAAAGAACAGCTAAATGGAGAAAGATATATTTGTAGATTGGAACACTAAATACTGTTACTAGGTCAATTCTCCCTAATCTATAGATTCAAAGCAATCCCAATTAAAATCCTAGCAGTTTGGTTTTTTTTTGTCAACACAGTCAAACTGATTCTAAAATTTATATACAAATGCAAAAGACAGAATAACCAAAACATTCTTAGAAGGGCAAAGTGGAATGATTCATATTACCAGTTTGAAGACTTACTATGAAGCTATAGTAATCAAAACAGTGTGGTACTGCCATAAGGATAAAGAAATAAATCAATGAAACAGGATAGAGTCCAGAAATAGAACCACATACAATCGAAGGGCAAAGGCACTAAGGTAATTCTATAGCAAAGTCTACTCAACAAATAATGCTGGGAAAAAATGGGATAAATGTATTTTTTAAAAATGAATCTTGCTATGTACTTCACAATGCACATAAATTAATTTGGGCTGAATTAAATACTTATACACAAAAGCTAAAACTATAAATCTTCAAAAATCAAACACAGGAGAATATTTTCCCAACCTTTCTTGGAATGAGCAAGGTTTCTTAAGAAGGGCACAGAAAGCCCTCACATGAAATAAGCCTTCCTCATACAACTGGAATTCAGAAGAATGTTTAAAGTTCTGCTTGTCAAAACAAACACTAAGAAAATAAAAAGATCAGAATAGACGGAGAATATATTTGCACTAAATATATCTGTCAAAAGACTTGTATTCGGAATATATAAATAACTCCTGAAATTCAACAATAAAAGATAAACAACCTATTAAAATATGCAAAAAACACACTTCAAAAAAACAAAAAGCCACACAAGGTAACAATAAAGTTGAACAACAATGTGTCCTTACTCTCATTTTTTGCTGTTTAAGAGGACATCATGGGATGGACAAAACAGGCATGATTTCTTTCTTTCTTTTTAGGGATGAAATTTTATTCTCATCTCTCCTTCTGTTTCATCAGGTGTAATATAATAGCTTTTTGTTTCTATCTGTGAACACATTTCCAGCACCTGTGGGATATTACTTCTTAACAGGTATTCATGTACATTGCTATTGGGCAAGTAAACAGAACAAAATTTCTAGAAAGCAGTTTTATAACTGTTATTAAGAGGTTTTAAAATATTTATGTCATTGAGAGTAATTTCTTCTGTGGGGATATGTCATCGGAAAGTATTTTGAAATATGAACAGAGGTTTATGAGCAATTATTACAGGATTATTTACACCACCAAACATCCAAAAACCTCAACATTTCATAAAGGAAGCTGTTCATGAAGGAATAATTATTACATAAATTGAGATATTTATATATGAAAGAATAGTCAGCCATTTGTGCTATGGGTTTTACTTATGAGTTCCTATATGTTTAAAAACAGAAATAAAGCAATTGGAAGAAAACACATCAAAATATAAATAGTTACAGATCATTTTACTTTTAGTTCTTATGTGTACTATCAAAATAAGCACACATTTAATATTTTTTCCTAAAAAAATAAGGAATATACTCTCTGGTATGTATAAAACCTCAGCCCTGGGAATTTCTCCATGTGATTTTTCTCACCAAATAACATTTAGCTTTTCTAATTCATAAATATAAAAGAGCTTACATATTTTAACTTCAATTAACATAAAGAAAACTGGCTCTACTTTCTTTAAAGTTTAGGAGACTGAAATCTCTGGATTTCATACTGCATAGCAAATTTGGTGACCAATGCCTCAATCT